GAGGGCGTCGCGGCGGTTCTGGCGCAGGAGGAGGGGGCTGCCGGGGGGGAGAAGCCCCCGCGCCGCACCCCCCAGGTAGCAGGGAATGCCCAGGGCCTCCAGCGCCGCGCTGTGGGTAGGCGGGCGTCAGCATGCACCAAAAACAGCTCGGTTGGGCCCCAAAACAGCTCGGTTTGGCCCCAAAACCAGCTCGGTCAGGGCCCCAAAACTGGCTCGGTCAGAGCCCCAAAAATTGGCTCAGCTGAGCCCAAAAACTCGCTCAGTCAGGCCCAAATCTAGCTTATCTGTCCCCAAAGTGGCTGATCCATCCCCAAAACGGCTCAGCCGTCCCTAAACCTACTCACCTGTCCCCAAACTGGCTGATCCATCCCCAAAGCAGCTCATCTGACCCCAAACCCACTCATCTGTCCCCACACCGCCTCGTCTGACCCCAAATTGGCTGATCTGTCCCCAAAGCCAGCTCAGCCGTCCCCAAACCATCTCACCAGACCCCAAATTGGCTGATCCGTCCCCAAACACGGCTCAACTGTCCCCAAACCGGTTCATCCATCCCCAAACCGGCTCAGCAGCCCCCAAATTGGCTCCACCGTCCCCGGACCGGTTCACCTGTCCCCAAACCAGTTCACCCGTCCCCGAAGCGTCTCACCGCAGCTCCTCGGCCGGCGTGGGCGGCAGCATGGCCTGGCTGCCCACCAGCACCAGCGGCTTCGTGGCCCGGCTCACCAGCTCCACGCACCGTTGCACCTGTGACCCAAAACCGCCTCGATCAGCCCCAAAACCGGCTCGGTCGGGCATCAAAAACCAGCTCAGTCAGCCCCCAAATCAGCCCTATTTGGGCACCAAAAACTAGCTCAGTCAGCCCCAAAACCGGCTCGGTTGGGCACCAAACCTGGCAGGGTTAGCCCCAAAACCCTGTCGAACCCCAAAATTGGCTCACCTGAGCCCCAAAACCAGCTCAGTTGGGTCCCAAAACCAGGCCAGTTGGGCCCCAAAACCGGCTCAGTTATCCCCAAAAACCAGCTCAGCTGAGTCCCAAAACTGGCTCAACTAATCCCCAAAACCGGCTCCACTGAGCCCCAAAACTGGCTCAGTCAGCCCCAAAAACCAGCCCAGCTGAGCCCCAATACCAGCCCAGCTGAGCTTCCAAACTGGCTCAGCCGATCCCCAAAAATCAGCTCTGCCGAGCCCCAAAACTGGCTCAGTCAGCCCCAAAAACTGGCTCAGCTGAGCCCCAAAACCAGCTTAGTCGGGCCTCAAAACCCAGCTCAGCAGAGCCCCAAAACTGGCTCAACTGAGCCCTAAAATCAGCCCAGCTTAGCCCCAGAACTGGCTCAGCTGAGCCCCGAAACCAGCTGATTTAACCCCAAAACCCAGCTCTGCCGTACCCCAAACCTGCCTCAGCCAGCCCCCAAACCCATCCCAGTCCCCCCAAAACCCACCTCAGCCGATCCCAAACCCATCCCACCCTGTC